GAGCGGCGCTTGCCGGCGCGCTTGCCAGCATCTCCGCCAAAAACATGCGCAACGTGTGGGGCGTTGCAAGCGCTTTGGCACTGGTAGCACAGCCATGGCCAACGACGTTGCTTCAGAGCCTCTGGGAGAAGATGGGTTTGGCGTTGCTCCCGGTGCTCTATACAACTCTAGTCACACACGACTTGGCTCCGGTCGCAGGCCTCTCGGATCTCTTCATGCACGCAGCCCAGGCCTTTGAGTTGCCGCGCTACCAGCGCCGTGTTTTGGCGCACAACTACGAAGCGTCCTCGCCGCTGCGAGGCCCAGCGCACGCATGCAGCTCGACCCGTCTCGTCCTCGACACCCTCGAATACTTTCGCCTGTACGACGCTGAGAAGCGGTCGGCGTTTGTCGACGCCTTCCTTGCTGCAACGGCCTCAAAGCTCGAAGCCAACACCGTCTTCCGCAACCTTGAGCTTCGAGAATCCGCGTCCGACATTCGCCTCGCCAAAGCCGGTCTCGAGCGCCTCCTGAGCGCGCCGTTGCGAGGCTCCGAGGTGCCCAAGCTCAACACTCTCACTCTCAGCGAACTCGATATGTACAACTTCACGACGAACTGGCATCGAGCCAAAGCACTCCGAGCCTCCAACGCCAATGACGCGGCCATGCGCAAGCAGTTCCAGCGACTCGCCGAGCGCCCGAGCCCAACGACACGGTAAGACACATTTTCAAGGCAGGCACCTGGCGCGCACGAGCCGTCCTCGTACGCTTCACTTGACCTTCCATAATACAAGTATGTCTGTGTACAAAAAGTCCTTGCTGAGCGGGTTGGTCGAACATTCTTTGGGTCTTTGCAGACCGTAAACCCATTACGGTCTGCAGTCTGCTGTCAGTAGGTTAAAGCTCTCGCTTGCACCCCAGAATTTGCCAGCGACCAACACAACGTTGCATCATGCTTTACGCCAACTTGAGCTTTGCTGTGACCAGTAGTGCCCAGACTCGTTCCCCGTTCGAATATGTATTCTGGCATGAAGCATTTTAATGGTTGCTGGACATGGTGCCACGTCATTCCACACGTCGAAATTTCACACGTTTAAATGCTACGCAGTTTTCCACGTGTGGTCATCCAACTTCAAGCTGGAAGATTTCGACGCACAGCACGATGGCTGCGCGAGGCAGACGTCCAGCGCCGACGACCGCGCCCAGCGACGCCCAAGTGGCGGCCAGCAGTGTATGCTTCATACACCGCCACAGGTATGCTCACGCACGTAAGCAGCTTATTCGCCAGCCAGCCACTGCGCCGTCTCTCGCAAATACTTGCATTGTGTCGACGCAAACCCTTATGTTGTAGCTGAGTAGAGCCATCCGCCATGTCCCGCAGATCGATGCCGCCGCACCTCGTCGACTGCGGGTTGACAAGGCGTTGTGCACATACAAGCAGTAGACGCCACCTTCGCTTGCTCTCGAAGGAGCTGTCGACAAGGTCATGCTAACCACCCGCGCTTCCTTCAACGCACAAAGTGTCGATTTGATCGAAGCGCCTGTGCAGACTCGACAACCAGTAGCAGCAACCGGTCGCCGCCTCGTTCTTGCCACTGCAATCGCCGCTCGCTCGAAGTAGCGCAACATATCACCGGCTGACGAGCTTGGGCCGCCTTGTTAAATCACGATGTAGCTGTAGCCCATCGAAATGTCGTCGTGCTGACGCTGGTTCGTTTTGGGGTATTAGCTCCTTCTGCTTTTTGGTGTCGTCGGCGGCCGCTTGCGCGCTGGAACAACATGCATACCTCGACGTGTTTCGCTGCACGAGACAAGCTACGCCGCATGCTCGACGGACGCCATGGGCAAGGTAGGATCCACGTGCATGGAGCTCCGAGGACTGATAAAATCACAAATCTAGCATAGTTCAACTGTTGTGTATTACGACTAACCTACTTTACCGGGCGGACGATTCGAGTATCTTTTTACTCTTCGGCGCCCTGGGGCTCTTGGCTGCGGCCCATTTGGCGGCCTGCCCGCATGACCTCGTCGACGAGCAG